GCCTCCGGCCGGCGAGCGCAGACGAGCCATGACTACCACTAACGGGGCGGTGGAGAACGGGCAGCTGGACAGGAAGCCGCCTGCCCTGCCGCGCCCCGTCCGCAACTTGGAAGTCAAGTTCACCAAGGTAAGGTGGGCTCCCTCCCGCTCCACCGTCACCTGGCTCCGCGCTGGGCAGCCCAGCCTGGGGCGGTGCAAGCGAGACGCCGGGAGGTCCCGAGTCCGGACGTTCCCGAAATCCGAACCTCTTTGCCCCGGCCCGGTGGCGATCCCAAAACCGCACCGGTTGCCGGGAGTTCCAGGCGGGCTGGCAGCGTCAGGGCTCAGCGCGCGGAGCCTCGAAACCAGACCCGGGAGGCGGCGGTGCAGCGCCCGCACCGCAGCGCCAGGCTGCAGCCGGTGGTGACCCGGGCACGGAGGTCCCATCGCAGATCCCTGGGCATGGTTTCCGAGGGAGCCAGTCTGAGAGCGCGCGGGCCACATCGGGGCATTGCACTTGGTAGGTTTGGAAAACAAGTCCTGGACGCAGCGCGAGAAGCATCAGCTTGTGCCCAGTTCGCCCGCGGAGCTAGGCAGGTCTGACGATGCTGAAAAGCTGCCCTGGACCCCAGCGTCCTGGGGTTTACGGAGGAGGAACTCGGTCCCCCAAGGTCGCAGCTCAAGACCTCAGGAAGCTGAAAGTGGCAAGGCCAGAGAGCCCGGGCTGAGCCCCAGGGAGACACACGGCTCTGCCTTTTTCTCTGCACGGTGAGCTGGCACCTGGAGCACTGGCAGAGAGATTAGGGCACCTGCCTAGGACAGAAAGGAAGATGGTGAGGTCTCCGAGCTCGGGCTGAGAAGGGCTCCAAGCGCCTGGGTTGACGCCCAGAATGCGCTGCTAGGGACGACACCCCTAAACTGATTGGGTGTGCTCCAACTTCATTCTTTTCCCTGCAATTTGTCTCCTCTTCTTTTTCAATCTTACCCCTAGACCCCAACTCCAGCTGGCCAAATACTTAGAAAAGTTTGTCATCCATGTGACTTTCAAAAGTAGCAATGATCTCTCTAATCGTTTGAATCAAGCGGACAAAGTTGCAGGCCTCCAAATTCTGGCTTCTTGGTGTTTCATTCTCTGAGTCGGCCGGGCCTCTGATCACAGGATGTTTAAATTCGTTTTTTCATAGGGCTCTGTGATGCACAGAGACACTGGCACTGTAAATGCTGGAAATGATTTTTAATGTCGCAACCTTGGTCATATCAGCCAGGGAGAGAACATTCCAACCCTTAGGCTGGACTCGGAGAAGCCTAATAGATCGTTCATCTTTTCGAGTTCTGACTCTACAGCACGCAGCGGCTGTGGGTGACGGTGTTTTTGATGGTTTGTTTTGGTTTTATAGGGTTCACATAATACTACAGAGACACCGGAAAGGAAATACATTCTTGTCTTTTTACATTTTTATGTTTTTAAGTCCCCGTAAGAGCAATTTGACCCCGTATGAAAAGTCCACCTTTTTCCCCGTCTGTGTGGGATCCAGCCACCTTCATCACTACACCACCAGTCAGACCACCCTTTAGGACTTCTATTTTTTAAAAGAATTTTCATTATTATTATTATCGTTATTATTATTTTAATTCACAGGGATGGGGCGGGGGGAGTGAGAAAGCAAAGCTGCCAGGTCTGGGACTCGAACCGCAGTTGGCCATGTGGGAGTCCAGCACCTTCACCACCACACCACCAGCCAGGCCATCCTTTAGGACTTTTTAAAAGTGTAAATGCAGCCCTTGTGGAAGAAGATCTTAGGAGACTCACAGAGCAATGAGTGATGTTTGCTTGCCGGGTGCCCTGTCTTTGCTAATTAAACAGAACTCAACGTGTGATGGGGGCTGAGAAAAGGTGGATAGATGGGGGGGCTGGAGACCTGGGATCATGAGGGGGCTCCCAGGAAATGAGGCTCCGACTGCCTGATCCCTGGCCGGCTGCCCCTCCTCAGCCATGGTGGATGATGTTCCTGCTTGCTATGGCCTAACTCACTTTTGCAGAGAATTATTCATAGCAGCTATGAGCCCTGGCCGCTTGTAGAGCTGAGAGCAGGTAGCCAGCACCCCAGCACCGATGCTCAGAGGGCTTCTGGGTAAAGAGGAGGCTGAGAATGTCCCCTAAGGAAAGCAGCAGAGGGAGCAAAGTGCAGATGCCAGGTCCCGGGCGCAGCAGAAATGGCCTGCCATTTTTCAAAATTGATGGTGCCATTCCCAGGGTGGTCCAGCTTCCAGAAGGATGACTTTGTCAAAATCCCCATCATTTGTTCTCAAATTCGAGATATGCCGTGTGATTCTGGTGAGGGGAGTCCCTCCGGGGTCCCCATGCAACCTCTTCCCCTCTAGGGCAGCCTTTTTTCATAAACTAGCTTTCATTAGCAGATTGTCTTTAAGATTCTCTAGTTCCTGTGTGGCCATTACCCCTGCCCAGGTGTAGGGGGATGATTTCCCACTTTCCCTCTCACTGTCTCTGTCTCTGTGTCTCTCTGGTGAGTGCACATGCCCTATGGCAAAAACCTCATTAAAAAAAGAAAGAAAGAGATTTTCTGGTTCAGAAAAACACCAGTTTTTATCGCTCTTATACAAAGTGAAATGCCCCCCAAATGTCCTTTTCTGAAAATATGCCCCCGTGGCGTTTAGCTGAGCAGCCCAAGGCCCAGTGGAAGTTACTGGAAAGGGCGTCGGAGTATCGTCTTGTGTGAAGGCCATCTTCCCTCCACCCGGGGCTCAGTCTCAATTCCATGTCATTCTATTCCTTAGGAAAATACACGTTCTCTCTCCCTGTCACTTCATCGTGTCGCTGTGTAAGATCGGTTTCGTGCCTTTTGACGAGTCGGGGGAGCAAGCCCTGTGCAAACGTCTTCTGTTGATTTGGGATGGCCAGCGTCACGGACAGGCCCCGTCCACTGGCCCCCTTTCCTCATGTGTGTTTTTGTTTTATTTTAGTGGAGGAAAAATCAGCAGCAGAAACCACTTCCAAGATGAGTTTCTAGTGTAGTATAAAAGAAAACAAAATTGCTGAATTAGAAGTGTCATAATGGGGAAATACAGTGCGAGTCAAGTGGTCTGAAGAAAAGGTTTTTTGAGTGGCTGGTTTAGCTGCACTCCCACATGGCTGACTCTGGTTCGAATCCCAGACCTGGCGGCTTGAAAAACACCCCGAGTGCATGTGTGCATGTGTGTGTGTGTGTTCCCAAAACCCTGAACGGAAAATGGGGAAGAAGAGATTGCAGCATGGCCATCCCCCTTGGAGGGTGGTTCTTCACTTTCCCTCTCTCTCTCTCTGTCTCATATATATATATATATTTTTTTTTAAAGAACTATGTATCAATGTTAAATTACGAAAAAACCAAGTAGGGGTTTTTGGGTTTTGTTTGCTTTTAGTTTTTGGAGAAGCAGGCTTGGAGATGAGGGGGAAGAGACCCCAGATCATTACAATCTGTTCTCACCCCTTTATTTACATCCTCCTCTTCCACCTTCTCATTCTCCCTCCCCCCAGCATTGACACGAGGAAGGACGTAGAATCAGCAGTTTTCACCTACAGTCTCAATTACCTATCCTACGAAATTTCATCTTCCTACAAATGGACAGCCCTCTCCCCGCCATACTCATCCTTGTCCCCGCTGATTAATTTCTCGCCGTTACCCAGTGAGAACTTGCTGGATGGCCAAAGTGAGCACTCGGATTCAGTTTCAGCTGGAAGAATACACCTGTAACTGTAGACTGGCCTGGTCCTCGCATGCATCCCCGGGGGGCTCCCGACTCTCGACACTGGGCTCCATGTGGGGGGGCAGCTTGTCTCTACCCACCTGCCCAGTTAGTGCCTGCCGGGTCCCCCCTAGTCCCAGCCTGGGCTTCCTTCCTGTGGACTGCCAAGTTTACTCAGAGAACCCCGATGCAAAGGGCTTAACCCAGCCGCATACTCTCCTCCCTCACCTGTCTTCACTGGGGAGTCGCGTGTTTCAAATGAATTATTTTCACAATCATTGAAATTAGCCATTTGGGGGCATGGTGGTTAAGGCGCTGACCACGGTTCGAGTCCCAGACCTGGCCGCTTGCTTTCTCACTTTCTCTTTCTCTTTCTCTCTTTCTCTGGTCAAATTAAAACAGACAAACAAGCGAAAACAATGATGAATAAAATTATTATTAAAAAAAAAAAATTAACCCTTTGGTGACACAATTCTTCCTTTCCAATAATTGGAAGAAACCCCCTTCCAAAAAAGCAAACTATGATCTACTTAGAGACATAGAAATGAAATCTGATCAACTGGTTCTGGACCTAGAAATCACTATGGCTGGGGCCGGTAGGTGGCATAGTGTTTGGGGCGCTGGACTCCCACATGGCTGCCTACAGTTCGAGTCCCAGACCCAGAAGCTTGAAACTCAAAACAGGCATGTGTGTGTGCATGCCCAAAATCTCAAGAGGAGTGTGGAGGAGAAAGGACTGTGCCATGCCATCCCCCGGGGGGTGATTTCTCACTTTCTGTCTTTTTGGCAAGCACACGTGCCCTCTAGCAAAAATCTCTTTCTAAAAAAAATAATAAATCAATCATTGATGTCATTTTATTTGATGGAATAATTCTGAAGTGTCACCATTGTGTCAGAGGGCTCTTTCTGACGCTGGGATGGATTGAGATGACGAGGCTGTCCCAAGCAGGAGGCTTCTGTCCTCTCAGTGTGCAGCCAGGCCCTCCGTGCTGTTCGAACGTGTTTTGTGTTTTATCGACACTTCTCTTAGCTCTTTTGCAAAAGCTCTTTATGTGATGTCCCTCAGGTGGTTAGGAATTCAAGTCAAGTACCAGGAATACAACATACATTTCAGGGACCAGCAGTTAGCGTAATGGCTATGTCGCTGGACTCCCATGTAGTCGACCGTGGTTCGAGTCCCAGACCCGGTGGCTTAAACTCACGCCGGGCGCGTGTGCGTGCGTGCCCAAGATCCCGAGAGGAGAATGGAGGAGAAGGGATTGCAGCATGGCCATCCCCCCTGGGGGGGTGAGTTCTCGCTTTCTGTCTCTGTGTCTCTCTCTGTCTTTCTGGCGAGCGCACACGCCCTATAGCAAAACCAAAACCAAACAAACAAAAAACATACATTTCACTGTGCTGCCTAGGTAAATTCCTTTTGCATTTTCTCATGATGCTCACGAGAGAGGGAGACAGAGAGAAAGGGAAAGTGAGAAATCACCCCCCCCAGAAGAGATGGCCATGTTGCATTCTCTTCTCCTCCATTCTCCTCTTGGGATTTGGGGCACGCACGCACACGCACCTGGTGTGCTTTTCAAGTGGCCTGGTCTTGTTGAGGGACATGTAGCAAGGGAGACAGGACCCTGGAGGCTTTTGCAGGGACACAGCGATTTATTCATGTGGGAACACTGGCTCAGCGGATTCGCATCCAAAAGCTGAGCCTCGAATTCTTTGGGGCTCCCCCTTTTTATTTGCTTTAGCTTCATTGTCTCCCATGTATGGTGGTATTAGACTCTTACGTACTTCTGATTGGGTAACAGGCTGTTACAGAATTATTGCAGGCATGTACCAGGCTTGGGGGGGGCGGGTGGTTAGGGACGCAGGCAGACGCGAAGTTATTACAGAGTTGCTAGGTTGCTTTTAGGGCTACGAGGTCGCTAAGAGTCTAAGCTGCTAGGGGGACAGGGCTGCAAGGTCACCACAGGCTGTAGGTGCATTTGTAAGTTCTAAGCATGTTCATTATCCTGTTGGTCCTGGAGGCCCCGGCTACCACAGTCTGAGAGTTAAAACGCGTGATCAGTCATGCTGGGGTCCAGCTGCCTCATTCTATGACACTTGGCTGCTCCGCTCATGACGTCTTTTCTTTGTTTGTTTGTTTCTTTTTGTTTTTCTTGGAGAGGTTTTTGCTATAGGGCGTGTGTACTCGCCAGAAAGACAGAGACAGAGAGACAGAAAGTGAGAAATCACCCCCCCAGGGGGGATGGTCACGCTGCAATCCCTTCTCCTCCATTCTCCTCTTGGGATCTTGGGCACGCACGCACACGCACCCTGCGTGAGTTTAAGCCACCGGGTCCGGGACTCGAACTGCAGTCGACTACATGAGAATCCAGCGACATAGCCATTACACTAACTGCTGGTCCCTTTTCTTTTTTCTTTTTTTACAGAGCCAGACAGAGACAGTGAGAGGGAAAGGGAGAAATCGCCCACAGGGAGGATGGCCACACTGCAGTCTCTTCTCTTCCATTTTTCTTTGGAGATTTGGGGCATGCCCACACATGTGCCCAGCATGAATTTCAAATAGCTAGGTTCAGGACTCAAACCTCAGTGGCCCGTGTGGGAATCCAGAGCCTAAATCACTATGCCACACACTAATCCCCATGAAGTCTTTTTTAAAAAGCATTCTTAATTCAGTTGTTAAGAATTGAGACTTCCAGAGCAGTGATTTTTCTTTTCTTTTCTTTTCTTTTTTTTTTTTTTTTTTTTTTTTTTTAGTGGTTTTTGACTTAGGGTGAGTGTGCTTGCCCGAGAGAGACAGAGACAGTGAAAGGGAAAATAAGAAATCACCCCTTCCCCAAGGGGGGATGGCCACACCACAATTTCTTCTCTATTCTCCTCCTGGGATCTTGGGCACACATGCATACACGTCTAGCGTGAGTTTCAAGCCTCCGGGTCTGGGACTTGAACCACGATTGGCCATGTGGGCGTTCGGCAACGTAGCCACTATGCCACCTGCTGGTTTCAGCAAAGTGATTTTTGCGCGTTATTTTCCAGAGTCTAGACGTACACAGCTATTTGCTACTTCACTAAATATAACCTGAACCCTTTCTAAGCCAGATATTAACTTTGTATCCCAACACTGGCTTTGATCAAGCCCAACATAAAAACAGACATCTTAAAGAGGAATGTGAGGTACAGAGCATGCTGGTTAATCAACTAAAGGGTTTGGGTAATACCATCACAATTTGAGTTTCTTGGCACTTTTTTTTCTTTCTTTCTTTCTTTTTTTTTTCCATGAGAGGTTTTTGCTATAGGGCGCGTGCGCGTGCCAGAGAGACAGAGAGAGGAAGAGAGACAGAAAGTGAGAAATCACCCCCCAGGAGGAGGATGGCCACAATCCCTTTCCCTCCATTCTCCTCCTGGAGTCTTGGCTAGGCACGCACCTGGCATGAGTTTTAAGCCACCAGGTCCAGGACTCAAACTGCAGTGGACTTTATGGGAGTCCAGCAACATAAACATTATGCCATTTGCTGGTCTGTTTGTTTTGGCTTACTTTTTAAAAAAAAAAAAAAAAAAGAGGCAGAGAGGAGACAGCCCAACAAGTCTTCATAGTATGCTCTTCCCATAGTCTCAACCCACCACATACATTGGCCGGCACGTGCAGGGAGACCTCAGGACATGAACCCAGGACCTTCCCATAAGGCTTCACTGTGGAGTGTTGTGTTACCACTCCGCCATGTCGCTGGCTTGACAATCTTTTTTTTTTCTTTTCTGGAAAGGTTTTTGCTATAGGGCGCATGTGCTTGACAGACAGACAGAGAGAGACAGAGAGACAGAAAGCGAGAAATCACCCCCCCCAGGGGGGATGGCCACGCCACAATCCCTTCTCCTCTGTTCTCCTCTTGGGATCTTGGGCACCCACGCACACGCCTGGCATGAGTTTAAGCCACCGGGTCCGGGACGCGAATTGTGGTCAACTACACGGGAGTCCAACGACATAGCCATTATGCTAACTGCTGGTCCTTGGCTTGGCAATCTTGACAGGGGATGCAATGGGAAGGGGAGGGATGTTCAATGTTTACTTGTTACACCTTGGGGCGATGGAGATTGTTTGGTATATATCATCTCTGCCCCCCAAAGTCTAAGAGGGTGTCGGGTTCAATTTACCAACCTCTATCAAACCTAGTCACTCCGCTGTGAATCCATGTTATTGCTAAAGAAATAATAATTTAGAAAAACCCATAAGGGTCAGCAGGTAGCATAGTGGTTATAGCACTAGACTCCCACATGGTTGACTGCAATTCAAGTCCTGGACCCGGTGACTTGAAACTCACACTGGATACCTGTGTGTGAGTTCCCAAAATCCTGAGAGGAGAATGGAGGAGAAGGGATTGTGGCATGACCATCCCCCCTGGGGGGTGATTTCTCACTTTCTGTCTCTTTGTCTCTCTCTGTCTGTCTCTGTCTTTCTGGTGAGCGCACATGTCCTATAGCAAAAATCTCTCTCTTGAAAAAAAAAGAAAAGACAAAAGAAGACCCCATAAATAACTTTAGTTTGTTTGTTTGTTTGTTTGTTTTGAGAGGTTTTGGCTATAGGGCGTGTGCGCTTGCCAGGAAGACAGAGAGGGACAGAGAGACAGAAAGCGACAAATCGCCCCCCAGGGGGGATGGCCACGCCGCAATCCCTTCTCCTCCATTCTCCTCTCGGGATCTTGGGCACGCACGCACATGCGCCTGGCATGAATTTAAGCCACCAGGTCTGGGATTCGAACCATGATTTACTACATGGGAGTCCAGCGATGTAGCTATTATGCCATCTGCTGGTCCAATAACTTTAGTTTTATTTAATTAATTTTTTTTTTAGCTTTTTTTTTTTTTGGAGAAGTTTTTGCTATAGGGTGCATGCACTTGCCAGAAAGACAGAGAGACAGAGAGATAGAGAGACAGAAAGCAAGAAACCATCCCCCAGGGGGGATGGCCAGCCCACAATCCCTTCTCTTCCATTCTCCTCTCAGGATCTTGAGCACACATGCACACGCGCCTAGCTTGAGTTTAAGCCACCAGGTCCGGGACTCGAACCGTGGTCAACTACATGGGAGTCCAGTGACATAGCCATCACACCATCTGCTTTAGTTGTATTATGGCAAAAACTCAGATTCTAACTCTGAGTCTGCATCTGATTGGTCTGTCCATCCCGGGACTCGGTGCTCTGTCCCCTCCAAACCTCATCCGTAAACCAGCAGGGGGTGGGGGGAAGCGGCTCGGAAGAAGGTGGACAAGACGTTACCTAAGGTCCTGAGTATGCTGAAACGATATCGTTCCGATTGAAGCCTAATTCGTTCCATTTCCTCTCCTGCTTAGATATTTATCAACAATGAATGGCACGGGTCCAAGAGCGGAAAAACGTTTGCTACGTATAACCCTTCCACTCTGAAAAAGATATGTGACGTGGAAGAAGGTGACAAGGTAGGTGGCCCTGCCCATTGCCTCCACCCCCTGCCCTAAGTCATTTAAGTTACAGGGAACCTAGGGGTAAAAGTCAGGGGTTTGCAGAATCAGCCCACACTCAGGTGGGGCCAGTCCCAGCTGCCGGAACTGCGATGTGTCCCTCGGACACAAACACGCCACTCAGAATGAGATCAATTCATTACAGAGATCCATTCCAAAGAGTCGTTCTCCTTTGATAGCTGTTTCTCATCTCTGAGAATGACCTCAGTTTCCTCCTCACGTGGCCAAAGGAAATCTTTTTGATCCATGATTTGAACCTGGAGGCATGCAAGAATCTTTTCCATAAAGTATTTCCGGCTGGTGTGTTTCACCGGTTTGCAGGATTCTGGCAGGAGACGCTGAAAAACAATAGGCTTGAAGGACCTGCTGTCCAAGTGCCACGGGGATCGCAGTAACGTCATGAAGCCGCCAGGTTTCCTTCTGCTGGGAACTCGCATGAGCGTGCACGACTGCAGTCTTTTTTTTTTTTTTTTTTTTTGAGAGGTTTTTGCTACAGGGCGCATGCACTCGCCAGACAGAGAGACAGAGAGACAGAAAGCAAGAAATCACCCCGCAGGAGGGATGGCCACACCGCAATCCCTTCTCCTCCATTCTCCTCTTGGGATCTTGGGCATGCACGCACACGCGCCCAGCATGAGTTGAAGTCACCGGGTCCGGGACTCGAACTGCTGGTCCCAAGGCTGTAGTCTTTATCTTTTTTTTTTGCTAGTGCAGGATCTTTAATATAATGCAGAAGCTGAGGGTCCTCCAAATCTGTCCTTTGGACACTTCAAGGTCATTAGTATATTTTCAGTGTGCTGTTGGGGGGAGGATTCAAGATAAAACCCTATTGCAGCAAGAAGTGGGGCAGGAGCCTCTCCTCAACTGCTAGGACCCTGGAGTGATGCTCATTTTTGTCTGAATTTGCCAGAGGGTACATGCACTTGCAGGAGAGAGACACAGAGAGACAGAAAGGGAGAAGGGAGCCCCCGTGGGGTATGGTCATGCTGCACTCCCTTCCCCTCCATTTCTCCCTCCTCTCCAGATGCTGGGCGTGCACACGCATGCGCCTGGCTGCTTTTCTAGCTGCTGGGTTGGGGACTCAAACCATGTGGTCAGCTGTGTGGGATTCAACCTCCTTAACCACGATGCCATAGGCTAGCCTTGGAGCGATATTCATTTTTGGTTTTGTTTTTGCTTCTTTTTTTAAAAAAAATGTTTTTAAATGTTTAAGCTCTTTGCCATAGGGCACATGCACTTGCTGGTGAGAGACAGAGAGAGGGAAAGTGAGAAGTCACCTCCCCACACACACCAGGGGAGATGTCCACGCTGCAATCCCTTCTCCTCCACTCTCCTCCTGGAATTTTGGGTGCACACGACTTGGCATGATTTCCAAGCTGCCAGGTCCGGGACTCAAACCCATGTAGTCAGCTATGTGGGATCCAACCGCTTATCTCCAGGCTGACCCTATACCATAATGAGCATATTATTGTATCAAACGTGCAAGGGGTGAAGAGTGAGTGTGAAAAGCGGGCGTGGGATTTTTTTTCTTTTTGGAGAGGTTTTTGCTATAGGGCACGTGTGCTCACCAGAAAGACAGACAGAGAGACAGAGACAGAAAGCGAGAAATCACCCCCCAGGGGGGGATGGTCACGCCGCAATCCCTTCTCCTCCATTCTCCTCTCAGGATCTTGGGCACGCACGCACACGCACCTGGTGTGAGTTTAAGTCCCGGGTCCGGGACACGAACCACAGTCAGCTACATGGGAGTCCAGCGACATAGCCATTACACTAACTGCTGGTCCCAAAAGCAGGCGTGGGTTTTTATCCCATCATCCCAGTTTCATGCTAGGTGTGTATTTCATAGTGGCCCCCGTAGAGACCCTCTCTGTGGGCCCCCCATTGTAAGGTGTTTCCAGATTACGTGGCGCAGAGGTGCTCGTGCAATGTGAGAGTGGGGAGAGAGAGCCTGATGCTGGGTGGGATTCGCAGTAGGAGATGTCCCGTGCCTCATGCAGGTGTCGGGAAGATAATGAGACCCTTGCCTCGGGCCCCAGTTTCCCTGTTGATCTGGGTGCCCTCTCTGAGCACCCAGAAACAGAAGCCACCCTGTGCCCTGTGGCGAGAGAGACCTCGGCCTCCATCCCAGTGTCTGGGACAGAGAATTTGAAGTCCCAGCAATTCCCTTGCAGAAGCTTTAGCTCAGCTCCCAGAAGAATGAGGACACACCGTCTCCCTCCTGACGGGTGTCCGGTGGGCCCATCACCTGCTGCCGTTACCTAGAGAGAGAGGCTCAGAGGGGTTTGCCTATCAGCCAGCAGACCTCAACACCCATTTCTCCAACAGTAAGAATGATGATGGGGACCAGACGATGGCGTGATGGTTACATGGCTGGACTCCTAAGTAGTTAACTGTAGTTCGAGTCCCGGATCCGGTGACTCGAAACTCACACCAGGCATGTGTGCATGTGTGCCCAAGATCCCTAGAGGAGAATGGAGGAGAGGGGACTGCGGCGTGGCCATCCCCCCTGGGGGGTGATTTCTTGCTTTCTGTCTTTCTCTGTCTCTCCAGCAAGCACACATGCCCTAGCAAAAAATCTCTCTTAAAAAAAAAAGGGAGGGGGACTAGCAGTTAGCGTAATGGCTATGTCGCTGGATTCCCATGTAGTCGACCGCGGTTCGTGTCCTTGCCCCGGTGGCTTAAAACTCACTGCGTGTGTGCCCAAGATCCCAAGAGGAGAATGGAGGAGAAGGGATTGCAGCGTGGCCATCCCCCCTGGGGGGTGATTTCTCACTCTCTGTCTCTCTTCTGTCTCTCTCTATCTGTCTGGTGAGCGCACGCGCCCTATAACAAAAACAAAACAAAACAAAACAAAAAAGTAACATAGGGCAGCCAGTGACATGATGGTTATTGGATCCCATATGGCAGGGTTCGAATCCCAGACCCAGTAGCTAAAAAAACATTGTGGTCACATGTGCATGCATGCCCAAACTCCCAGCAGAAAAATGGAAGGGAAGGGATTGCAGTTGGCCATCCCCCCAGGGGGGTGATTTCTCACTTCCCCTCTCACTGTCTCTGTCTCTAAGAACATAAGCCCCCTAAGGCAAAAAAAAAAAAATAGGAAACAAGAAAAAATAACTCTTAAAAAAAAAAAAGAATGTCCAGACCAGCAGGTGGCATGGTGGTTAAGGTGCTGGACACTCCCACATGGCTGACCACGGTTCGAGTCTCGGACCTGGCAGCTTGCTTTCTCACTCTCTGTCTCTCTCTGGTCAAATTAAAATAAATGAATGAATAAATAAATTTGAAAAAGAATGTTAATACTTGGCCTTTGGGAAAAGTCGAAGATGAAAAGTATTATTGGATGCCCTCCCTGTATCCTATGGTTTCCACACTCGGGGGCTGGAAATTTGTCTGCTACTGGCTCCCTCCTTGGCTCTCCCATCCCGGGGAGCTGACAGCCGAGAGGTCCCGGACTACAGCCACACTGGAAGATGACACTGTCTCTCTGCTTCGGCCCGTAGCCCGACGTGGACAAAGCCGTGGAAGCTGCACAAGCCGCTTTCCAGAGGGGCTCGCCATGGCGCCGGCTGGATGCCCTGAGCCGCGGCCGGCTGCTGCACCCGCTGGCGTGGCAGACCTCGTGAAGAGGGACCGTGCCATCCTGGCTGTGAGTACCCGTACATGGGGCAGGGCTGGGCTGGGCTGGCCTCCCTGGGGGCCTGAGCCCCGTGGGGTGCGGAAGAAAAAAATCAGTGCTGGTTTTATGAAGCTGCCGGTCTCATCCATCTCCCAAGACTCAGCTTCCTGAACTTCACCCTTTTTTTTTTTTTTTTTTGAAGTCGGACTTTTGGGACAAGCCAGGGGCATAGCGGTCAAGGGGATTGGATCCCATTTGGCTGACTGCAGGGTTCGAGTCCCCGACCTGGTGACTTGAGAAACACGCCAGGCACGTGTGCATTCATGATCCAAATCCGGAGAAAAGAACAGAGGAGAAGAGATTGCGGTGTGGCCATCCCCCCTGGGGAGTGTGTTCTCTCTTTCTCTCACTCTTTCTCTCTGTCTCTCTCTTTCCAGTGAGTGCACGCTCCCTGTAGCAAAATTTAAATAAGTAAATAAATAGGACGTTGGATTTTTGTCTCCGTAACTGCTCTATTTAACCAAGAAGTTGGTCTACAAGAGGTTCAGCTTCATCAGAAATTCCCAGACTTGGGGACCAGCAGATGGCTTAATGGTTATGGTCACTGGACTCCCACATAGTTGACCGCAGATCTAGTCCTGGACCTGGCAGCTTAAATTTACGCCAGGCACATGTGTGCACATGCACAAAATCCCAAAGAATGGAGGAGAAGGGATTGCAGCGTGGTCATCCCTCCTCGGGGGTGATTTCTCACTTTCTGTCTCTCTGGTGAGCTCACATTCCCTATAACAACAACAAAAAACTCTCTCTAAAAAACTATAAATATCCATACATTATATTTTCTTTTTCTTTGTTTTAGAGAGATGTTTTTGCTATAGGGCACATGCACTCCCTAGAGAGACAGAGAGAGATAGAGAGACAGAAAGCGAGAAATCACCCCCCAGAAGGGTTGGCCATGCCACAATCCCTTCTCCTTCATTCTCCACTCAGGATTTTGGACACGCACGCACATGTGCATGGCGTAAGTTTTAAGCTGCCGGGTCGAGGACTTGAACTGTGATTGATTATGTAGGAGCCCAGCGATATAATCCTTACTCCATCTGCTGGTCCCAATGCATGCTGGTCCCAGTGCATTCACCAAGAACTTCTTGAAGATTCTTTGCATTAATTTCCCTTTAAACTTATATTTAACCTTATCCTAAGTGACAATACTCATGCCATCACAGATTTCAGATGCTGGTTGTAATTTTTTCTAACGCTTATTAAAATAAATGCCACCTAGGGTCAGCAGGTGAACTAGTGGTTAAAGCTCTGGACTCTCACATAGTGACCACGGTTTGAGTCCTGGACCCGATGGCTTGCTTTCTCATCTTCCCTCTCTTTCTCTCTCTCACGAGTGCACACGCCCTATATCAAATTAAAAACTACTACGCCATCTGATGGCATACTGGCTAAGGTGTTGAACTCCCACATGGTCAACTATGGTTCGAGTCCTGGACCCAGTAGCTTCAAAATTACAGTGAATGCGTGTTCATGCACGCCCAAAATCCCAAGAAAATGGAGAAGAAGGGATTGCAGTGTGGCTATCCTCCCTGGAGGGTATTTTCCCATTTTACCTCTCTCTGTCTTTCTTTGGTGAGTGCATATGCCCCGTGACAATAAAAGTCTAAAAAGAAAAAATAGAATAGAATTAATAATAATAATAATAATAAATTAATTAAATGAATAAGTCTTTAAAAAATAAAATAAATATTACCATTTAGCACAGAAAAAAATTGTTCTCTGGGATCAGCAGTTGGCGTAACAGCTATGTTGCTGGACTCCCATGTAGTCAACCGCGGGTCGAGTCCTGGACCCAGTAGCTTCAAAATTACAGTGAATGCGTGTTCATGCACGCCCAAAATCCCAAGAAAATGGAGAAGAAGGGATTGCAGTGTGGCTATCCTCCCTGGAGGGTATTTTCCCATTTTACCTCTCTCTGTCTTTCTGGCGAGCGCTCGCACCCTATAGCAAAAAAAAAAAAAATTCTTAGATGATCTGAAATCCTTTCTGTATCGTCTCTGAGCTGGGTGGTGGCGAGTGTGTGTGGGTGGAGGTAAGAGCTGGGAGAACTGGTTAGAGTAAACTTCATGGTATGAAAGATTGTGGTTCAGTTTCCAGCTCTACCACTTAGCTGTGTGGCTTTGGACATGTGGCCTAACCTCTCTGAGACTGATGTCTTTGTGGACAATGTTACTCATGAGGCTGTCTCAGGGTTGTGAGAAAGAGCCCTTGAAAACCCTGGAAGTCTGTGGCAGGTAGTGGGCACTAGCTATGATAATGATTATCAGTAACAGCGGTTGCAACGGGCAGAAGGCGTAATGGTTACATCGCTGGACTCCCATGTAGTCAACCACAGTTCGCGTCCTGGACTCGGTGGCTTAAACTCACGCCGGGTGCGTGTGCGTGCGTGCCCAAGATCCCGAGAGGAGAATGGAGGAGAAGGGATTGCAACGTGGCCATGCCCCCGGGGGAGTGATTTCTCGCTTTCTGTCTCTCTGTCTCTGTTTCATCAGCAAGCACATGTGCTCGCTAACAAAAACCTTCAAAATAAAAAGATGTGAATGCCATGATTTAACAGGATCCTCAGAACTTATTTCGTTCTTGAGATAGGGGAGCAGAGCACGTCTCGGGCCACTGTGGGTCTGGAGGGCCTCTGTGACCTGTGCGCTCAGCCCTTGTGACTCAGTCTCTGGCTTTTTGTTGTTTAAAGAGGTTTTTGCTATAGGGCGCATACGCTCCCTGGAGAGACATAGACACAGAAAGCGAGAAATCACCCCCCAGGGGGGATGGTCACGCCGCAATCCCTTCTCCTCCATTCTCTCAGGTTTTATCTTGGGCACGCACGCACACGCACCCGATGTGAGTTTCAAACTGCCAGGCCCGGGACTCAAACCATGATCGGCCACGTGGGAGTCCAGCACCTTAGCCACTACATCACCTGCTGGCCCCTGTTTTTCAAACTTGTTCCAAACCTTGGGGCCCATGTGTGGGGGAGTAAATCTCCTCTTTGGCCTTTGACTTAGAAAAGCGGGTTTACTGTTGTCGAGGGCACAGAGTGGCCGCCCTTTGACGACACGGTGTCAGCCAGGACAGTCTCGGGAAAGGAGAAGCCCTGGGCCGGGAGCTGCCCTTGGGCGCGTTTCCCCAAGGTCACAGCTGCACACAACCCCAACGCCCCCCTATCCTTCCCCAGCGGCTCGTCCGGCAAGTTCTCCCAAATCCGAGTGACAGTAGCTCCCGCCCGGGGTCAGCGCGGGTGTCTGTGGGACCTCTGCTTTCTTCCTGCAATGAAAGCGGCCTCGACTCCCAAGCTGCCAGACTGGCTTTTTCAAAACCATTTCTGTGTTCCCCGAGCATGAGCTCATCGGTCTGCAATGTCCCCCGTGTGGACTGAAAGCCAGCGGGAGAGGATGTGTCCTGACGCCCCTCCCCACCCTGTCCTCGAGCGGCAGTCTCATCTCGAGGGCAGCGTCTGCAAGGCCACCTTCCCCTCAGCCTGTCCCATTGTCCCGGCATGACCGCGGCTGCGGCTGATTTTTTTGTTTGTTTGTTTTCAAATTGTGGGCAGCCATCTGGGAGTGTCCAGCACCTTAACCACCATGCCACCTGCTGGTCCCAACGGCTGTTTTCTTTTGTTTTGTTTTGTTTTTGGAGAGGTTTTTGCCCTAGGTCACGTGCACTTGCCAGAGAGAGAGAGAGAGAGAGAGAGAGCTAGAAAGCGAGAAATAACCCCCCAGGGAGAATGGCCACGCTGCAATCCCTTCTCCTCCATTCTCTTCTTGGGATCTTGGGCACGCACACACACACGCCCGGCGTGAGTTTAAGCCACCGGGTCTGGGACTTGAACTGCGGTCGACTACATGGGAGTGCAGCGACATAGCCATTACACTAACTGCTGGTCCCGTGGCTGCTGTTTTAAGTTGACTCACTTATTCCTTATCCCATTACTGAGAGACACTGAGAACGAGAGAGAGAGAGAGCGTGCCCGATGGGGTCCTGAACCACGGCCCCCGGTAACTACAAGCGCAGAGGACGGGCATGCACACACACTCCGTGCACACTAGGAAGGTCAGGCTTGAACTGGCAACAACCCCGTGTGGGTCAGTCTCGGAGCGCTGCGTTTTATCTCTGTGCCACCCTCCAGCCCCATGACTGAGTGTTTGTTTGTGTTTGTTTGTTTAGATTGTTGTCGTAGCGCACATGCACTCCCTAGAGAGAAACGAAGAGAGAGGGAAAGTGAGAAGTCATCTCCCCCAGGGAGATGGCCATGTCGCAGTCCTGTCTCCTCCATTCTCCTCTCGGAATTCTGGGCCCATACGCACACACGCATGCACGCATGCATGCACATGCGCCTGGTATGATTTTCAAGCTGCCTCATCTGGGACTTGAAGCTCGCAGTTGGCCAGGTGGGATCCAGCAGCTTAATCTCCACGCCACCTGTTGGCCCTCACAACTGTTTTTTTTGTTTGTTTGTTTGTTTTGTTTGTTTGTTTTCTTTTAAGAGGGATTTTTGCTATTGCTAGAGAGACAGAGAGAGACAGAAAGACAGAAAGCGAAAAATCACCCTCCATGGGGGATGGCCATGCCACAATCCCTTCTCCTCCATTCTCTTGCCACCACATGGCAGAGACAGGAGAATGGTCGACAAGTACGATTTGGGGGAATTTTTGTTGTAGGGCACAGGTGCTTGCTGGAAAGAGAGACAGAAACAGAGACAAAGGAAAAGTGAGAAATCACCTCCAGGGGGGTTGGCCATGCTGCAATCCCTTCTCCTCCATTCTCCTCTCGGGATCTTGGGCACGCACGCACACGCGCCCGGCATGAGTTTTAAGCCACCGGGTCTGGGACGCGAACCACGGTCAACTATGTGGGAGTTCAGTGACATAGCCATTACGATAACTGATGGTTCCCAGGATCCACAGGTTCTAAGTGGCAGCTCTGGAGGTGGAACACACCCTATGTCCCACCCTTACCCCCATCCCTGCTGTCTTCAGCAACTCCCAGCCCTATCTCTGGGCCCCCCAGGTGAGGATTGCCAAGGGCTTCTTCAATGTCTCCAAGGAAGATGATTACAGTCATGGTAGCCACCACTGTGTGTCTGGACCCCCATGGCTCCCGGCAGGTGCCATGGTCAGAACTTTACATATACGGACACCCTTAACTCTCACACGAGCCCCTGATCCTATAATGAAAAGCATTTCAGGGCCAACAGGCGGCGTGGTGGTTACGAGCTAGACTCTCACATCGCCAACCACAGTTCAAGTCCCGGACCTGGAGGCTTGAAAATCACGCTGGGTATGTGTGTATGCCTACAGAAGATCCCAGAAGGAGTATGTAGGAGAAGGGATTGCTGCGTGGCCATCCCCCCTCCAGGGGATGATTTCTCACTTTCTCTCTCTCCAGTGGGTGCATATGCCCTATAGCAAACATCTCTCCTTAAAAAAAAAAAAAAAAAAAAAAACTCCAGGGCCACCAGGTGGTGTGGTGGTTTCAGAGCTAGACTCTCACACGACCAACTGAAGTTCGAGTCCTGGACCTGGAGGCTTGAAAATCGCACTGGGCGCGTGTGCGTGCATGCCTAAAATCCCAGGAAGAGAATGGAGGAGAAGGGATTATGGCATGGCCATCCTCCCTGGGAGGTGATTTCTCACTTTCTGTCTGCCTGCCTCTCTCTCTCCAGCGAGCACATGTGCCCTGTAGCAAAAATCTCTCTAAAATGAAATAATAAAACCCTGGCCTTAAGGAGGGACCCTTCCTCCCTTTAAAGCATCATCTCCCTCCTCTGACTCTTCCGCAAGAATCCAGCCCTGGGCTATGTGTCTCGGACAGCCACTTCCTGCAGAGCCGGATAACCGGCATTTTCCGCACTGGCCTCATCTGGGGCCGCTTGTCTGAGGGACAAAGGGGTTTTCTTCAGCGCAGGCTGGAAATAGCAAAGAATCCTGCCATTGAGCCCTGCACGCGTGGCCCAGGATCGCCACCCTCCCCAGCAGGGCGAGCCCCTTCCTGCTGCAGATCCGGCCTGCATCCGGGTGCTTGGGAAGGCTGGCATCTTTGCACTGGTGGGACGCCCTCCTGGGCTCCGTCACTCCCTCCACAACCAGGCTGGCAGAGAAGAGCCTAAATCTTCCTTTTCTCACTCTCTCTTTTATTTATTTATTTATTTATTTATTTATTTATTTTATTTTATTGTTTTGGAGAGGTTTTTGCTATAGGGTGCGTGCGCTTGCCAGAGAGACAGAGAGAGCAATCCCTTCTTCTCCATTCTCCTCTCGGGATCTTGGACACGCACGTACACACACCCGGTGTGAGTTTAAGCTGCCGGGTCCGGGACTCGAACCACAGTCGACTACATGGGAGTCCAGCGACATAGCCATTACGCTAACTGCTGGTCCCCTTATTTATGTATTTATTTATTAGATGTTAGCCATAGGGCATGTGCACTTGCCAGAGAAAAACAGAGAGAGGGAAAATGAGAATTCACCCCCTCCCCATCAGGGATAGCCATGCCATAATCCCTTCTCCTCCATTCTCCTCTTGGAGTTCTGGACATGCACACACACATGAACACGCACCCAGCATTGTTTTTGAGCCTCCAGGTCCGGGACTTGAACCGCAGGCGGCCATATGAGAGTCCAGTGCCAATACCTCGCCTTTTTTCTGTTGGAGCCCCCTCTCCAGCCACCCAAAGCCAGCCAGCCCTCCTAGAGCTTCCTGGGCTGACACAGGATGCATACCCCTGCCACACGGCTGAGGCCGCCATGCTCCCCGTGAAGGACCAAATGCAAATGCAAACATGCATCTCTTGCAGCCACGGCTGCCACTCAGCCTCTCTTCCAGGGGTCCTCGAGGGGGATGCCCGCTCGTGCTCTGGCTGAGCCCCAGCTGGAGCCGTTCTGAAACAAAGCAGTCCCTGCCCATCTGGGTCGGGTCTCAATTTTGATGTCCTGTCTTGCCGAGGGGATGTATAGGACTCTGAATTCATGGGACCAAGGTCCTAGGACTGTGCTCTCTTCCCCTACCCTACCCCCCCCCACTCTATTTTCCTTTATGCCATTTATTGTTTGTTTTAGTTTCATTTCGTTTCAGTTTTTGCTATAGGATGCTTGCGCTTGCCGGAGAAACAGAGAGAGAGAGAGAGAGAGAGAGAAAGAGAGAGAAAGCACCCCCCAGGGGCGATGGCCACGCCGTAATCCCCTCTCCTCCACTGCCCTCTTGGGATTTTTGAGCATGCATGTACATGTGCCTGGCATGATTTTCAAGCCACAAGGTCCAAGACTCGAACTAGAGAGTCAACCGTGTGGGACCCAGCCACCTCAGTCTCTGCGCCACCTGGCTGGCCCTCCAACCCCATTAAAAACAAACAAACGAACAAACAAACAAAAAGACCATTACAATGAAAAGAAAAGCCACATGGAAAATAGATATCACTGGGGACCAGCAGTTGGTGTAATGGCTATGTCACTGGACTTCCACGTAGTCGACCACAGTTCGAGTCCCGGACCGGGTGGCTTAAATTCACGCCAAGTGCGTGTGCGTGCACGCCCAAGATCCCCCGAGAGGAGAAGGGAGGAGGAGGGATGGTGGTGTGGCCATCCCCCCTGGGGGGTGATTTCTCGCTTTCTGTCTCTCTGTCTCTCTCTGTCTTTCTGGGGAGCGCACGTGCCTTATAACAAAAAACTTCTCAAAAATAAAATAAAATAAAATGGATGTCATTTTACAGACACTGGAGACCATGGACACGGGGAAGCCATTCCTTCACGCCTTTTTCATAGACCTGGAGGGCTGCATCAGAACCCTCAGATACTTCGCGGGCTGGGCAGACAAAATCCAGGGCAGGACCATCCCCACAGGTGAGCCTCTGCAGGTGCGGGACGGCCTCCGCCTCCGTGAAGGCCCTCGGGGCTCTGTCTTCTCCTCCCTCTGCCTATTGCCTCGGCTCAGCCTCCCTCCTCGTCTTTCCCCCAAAGCATTCTTTCCAGTCCCCCCTCAGAAAGGGGGGTGTGCTGAGTCTCTTTCTCTGGAGCCTCTCCTTGAAGTTAAACTCAGATTTCTGCTCTGTGTCATAGACACAGCTTCGCGATGACACCTTGAGAAATCTCCAGCTTCCTTCCCTGTCTTTTCTTTCTTTCTTTTTTAGAATTATTTATTTAATTTAATTTATCATTATTATTTTTTAAATTTGCTATATGGCTCTGGTGCCCCAGAAAGACAGAAAGAGAAAATGAAAAAGCAAGTCTCCAGGTCTGGGACTCGAACCGCAGTCGGCCAAGTGGGAGTCCAGCGCCCTACCCACTATGCCACTTGCTGGCGCTCTTTCCCCGTCTTTGCACTGCTGGGAATTTGTGACGTTGGTCACCTCTCTTGCAGATGACGATGTCGTGTGCTTCACCAGGCACGAGCCCGTCGGGGTGTGTGGGGCCATCACTCCCGTAAGTACGCCCGTGTCCCAAAGCAGTCTATGACATTTGCACCCTGCTGCCCTGTGGCCTTTGGAACCAGTTTCAGTGTGTTTTGTTCTGATGTTTTGTTTTGTTTTAGAGAGAGAGAGAGATTTTTGCTATAGGGTGCATGTGCGTACTAGAGAGACAGAGAGAGACAGAGAGACAGAAAGTGAGAAATCACCCCCAGGGGGGATGGCCACACTGCAATCTCTTCTCCATTCTCCTCTCGGGATCTTGGGCACACATGCACACGCGCCCGGTGTGAGTTTCAAGCCTCTGGGTCCGGGACTCGAACCACAGTCGACTACGTATGAGTCTAGCTCCTTAACCATTACCCCACCTGCTGGTCCTCTGGTGTGTGTTGATCTGCAAACACCAGCACTATTGTGCATTTGCTCAGTTGGCCTGGAGCTCAGTGCTTGAACCTCTTGGGGTGAGGTAGGCCCCATTTCTGCTCTCGAGGTGCCCGCTTAGGTGTGCCATGGAGGCAGCCCTGGTTTCTCACCGCTACAGAGACAGACTCTTTTTTTTTTCTTTATAGATGTGGTTTTTAAAAAGTTTTCTTTAACTTTGGGACCAGCAGTTAGCATAATGGCTACGTCGCTGGACTCCCATGTAGTCGACC